AAACTTTCGTCAATACAAAATTATACACATTTTTCGGTAACGAAAACACAAAACTGAGCACAAAATTATCAAAACTTGAAATCTTCGAAATTAGAAATAGGATTCGGATTCCTTACTTCGAGACAAACAAATCTTCCAACTGCGTCGTCGGACGAAAAGTGTCGTGTGGCCTCCAAAATCAAGCTTTCCCTTCTCTTTCTCTCTCCTGTCTTCTCTTTCTCTCTCTTCAAATGAATCAAAAATATCTCAAATCCGATACTTATCAAGCAGGATCGTCCAGGACGATGCCCAGATCGTTCCGGGACGATCTCCTCTGGACATAGATCGTACATACGAAATTAATTCCAATTTGTTTCGTCCTTGGACGATGCTCTCGGGTTCAGTTCGTCCCGACGGTTCGTCCCAACTGTTCCAGGTTCGTACAAACGAAACATACAGATTTCTTCACAATTTATTCAGTTCGTCCCGTACTAAGGCCAGTTCATCTGGGACTAACAACACTAAAAAAATCAGCTTTTTAAGGGTTTTACACTTTCACCTTCCCCGGTGTAGCGGAGTACCAATCGCTATGTCACCTTCTCGGTGACGACAACAAACCTTCTCATTTTTATCCCTCATATAGAAGGAAAAGTACCTTTGAGGGTGCGGACCTTGAAGGCTCTCCCCCTTAGAGAGCTTCGATAAGATTTTCTCGGACCACAAGAGCAAGCGTACAACAACCTTTGAGCAATCATGTGATCCCCTCATACTCGTTCTCCCTCACAAACTCACTTTCTCCTTTTTCTCACAAACCCAAAAATATCATCAAGTAGCTCCCTCTCAAGAGTTCCCCTTCTTGTCACATTTCTCTCTCTTATTTTTTAAAAGACAAAATATCACATATATATTAAGCTCCAAGAAACCCTATGTTTTTTAATTTAATTATTTTTTTATACAATATGATTAGTTCAAAATAGATTCCGTCCAGATACGAATGAGTACAACATGTAATATTTTCAAACTGTAACATATAGTATGATATAAATATGGTCCAGTACGATATGATATATTTCTTTTGTTCATACAAGATGAATGCTGGGATGACAAAAGTTTGTCTCTATTCATCATCTGGTATGATCCAATTCATACAGTACGATCTGCTAAAAGCTTCATGTCGTTCGGTATGATGTATACATCGTCTAGTATGATTAGTTCAAAAATCAAGGGATCGTTCGGTATGATGTTTGGGATGATTAAAAATATCATCGGTTCATTGTACAGTACAAACCATGTTGTACAGTACAATCCCCAATCAGTAATTAAGCCTTGATTTAATTTACTAATTATGGGAGTTAATTTAACTAAGTATTCAAATATTCGTAATGTACGATTGGATCATATAGTACGATCACTTCAAAATTCAAGATTTAAAAACTTACTTAAATTAATCTGGCGGCTAGGGTTTCAAATTGAAAACACATTGTACAGTACAATGATGATCATACAGTATGATTAGTTCATAAAGAATAGTCGTTGAGCCTTGATAGTTCATACAATATGATTTAAAATCGTACAGTACGATTTACTGAGAATAAAAAAAATTTCCTTAAACCCTCCCCCCCTATGTATGTGCATGGTTGCTTAGTTTGCATACACTTTTTGTGGCTGAACTCAAGAAAAGAAAAATATGAAGTTACAGACTTCACATCCTATTCTACCCAGCCTCGAGTCTACGGTTATCTTGAGCAATATATGATCTCCCTGAAATGTTAGCACTCACAGATAAGAGCAACATTCAAAATATTCAATGAATAATGATAAAATTCAATCGACATTATTTTTCATCATCAAAATTTCAAGCTAGGGGTCATGGGCTGCAACAAGCTAGAAACATTTGATCATAAGTTTCCATTATTTTTCTTGGGCATTCTCCTCCACCAAAATAAGTATGAGGCTTGTCATTTCCCCCCAACACCAGTTTTGGTTGGGGATTAGGATTGTAGGCCTATTTTATCTTATTTTCATAGTGCATCAGCTGCTTGTCTTTATCTTTTTTATAAACTACCTATTTACTTTTATCAACATCATACACCACTTATTTTCTCTCATCGGCCCGAAAAGAGAATGTGAAGTGGGATTTATTTCTTCTGGCATTTTGGCTTTGGCCTTTTTTGACTTAGTGGCCTTCTAATTTTGATAAATTCAGCATTTTGAATTTTTCCACTCTACCGATCAGATCCTTAAATATGGTGATGGTAATCATGCATAAGAATTGTTACATCTTATCATTGTTGTTTTTTATTACAAGTGGACAACATGATCCTCTTGTAGTTATTGCTCATATTTCATGCTCAAATTATGCTAGTGGGTTGTATATTTTGTTACTGACTCGCCATTCTTCTATTTCTCTAAGGCGAGGTCAGAAATAGTTATATTCTCAGTTGCGCTGGATAACCTATTTATGAATATGGATTCTAATTCTTTAAAATTCTTCACACAATCATTTGGTAATTAAGCATACTATTAGAAAGTACTCGAAGTCAAACTACTGATGAATTGTAGGAAGAGTAAGACGTCGTTACCCCTTGTATTGCAACAGGTGGTTTTAAATTGCGCCAGGTGCTCCTTGGGGTTTCTATTGTCGTTGAAGGTGTAAAATTTTGGAATAGAGTAGCCCTTCAAATATATAACCTAGTCATATTCTGTCGGGTATAGGAAACCCTTACTTATTAACTTCTTTAACTGATCAATGGCTATAATAGCATTGATATTCTCGTTGATTATGCCCTCTAGTTGTGCAACAATCATAGGCTCAGATGTATTTATTATATTTTATATAGTAGGCTAGAAAATTAAGGTATTGACCTCATTTTCATCTTCTGGGGTACCTTACACTCCTGAAACATGAGATATCTAGATTTTTGGAGGATGATAGGTGGAGTGGCTATAAGACTTACAACAACAGTTCTCTATATCACCTACCTCATTGCTGTCATGTGGGTCTTCGCCTAAGTAATTTTTTCATTCAACTCAGATATTTTCCTAACTTTTGCCTTTATTTTTCACCTAATATGTCTTCACATATCTGCCAGTGTGACAGTGTCGGTGATGAAGCGATTTTCTTTAGGCTCTTCTCTTCTTTCTTTTGATTATTATCTACCACTCTTAGCTATAGACCTAACCTTATAGTGACATTAGTATGTTTGTTTGGGTGGTGAAAGATGCCCTTCATCATCATCAACTCCATACCATTGTGTCTTATTATGTCGACAACTTCAACGTCCATGATTCCTTCCTTATCTTCTTCTTCTTTTGATATCCAGATCTCTAAGCAGCATCCCCATTGAATCTATGGGATGATGTGGGTCTCCAACCCACAGGGAAATTCAATGACTCATCTGATATACCCTTTTTTTATGGGCGGCTTCGTATAGAGGTTTACTTAGATTGGGAATGAGTTGTTGAAATCTTTTTCAAATACATGGAAATTAGTCCTGAGAAGCAAGTTAAATATGTGTCGTGTCACTTAAAAGGTGAAGCCAGTGCATGGTGGTTACAATTATTATAAACTCGCCGGAGGGGAAAGCAAAGGAGAAGTGCTAAGCTGATTATGGTCCTTCCATCCACTGTCACCTGAATATGGTCTTTTCGACCTTTATCGCTCTTCGACAACGGTCCTTTCGACCTCCGTTGCTAGATAACAATCTTTAAGACCTCTATCACTCGTCGACTACGATCCTTCCGACCACCCTCATTGGGCTATGGTCTTTCCGACCTTTGTTGCATGTCGACTATGGTCGTTCTGACCACTATCACTAAATTATGGTCTTTCTATTACCCGCCGACTATGATCCTTCTAACCTCCAACGCTAGACAATAGCCTTACGACCTCCATTGCCTATCGAATACGGTCACTACGACCACCATCATCCGACTATGGTCTTTTCGAACTTCATCACCTGCCGACTTCGATCCTTCTGACCTCTATCACCAAATAACAATCTTTACGACCTTCGTCGCCCACCAACTATGATCCTGACTATGGTCCTTCCGCCCTCTGTTGCCTAACAATGTTCCTTCCGACCTCCGTTGCCCGCCGACTACGGTCCTTCCAATCACTGTCACCAGAATATTGTCTTTCCGACCTCCGTCGCCAACTGGTCCTGCCTACCAAAGGAACATATCAATTCTGATTCTTTCAATTTCCACCATATAATGCACTTTATATGATGTATATTTGTTACATCAAGCCAAGGCTATCCCTCAAGGAAGGGTCTCATTTGTGATCAACTGCAAATACTAGTTGATTCATTCAAACTGGGCTAACCAGGCTCTGTAGTTTTTCCCATTTTCAGGATTTTTGATGAAAAAGTCTCTATTGTTTCTTATAAATGTTGCACCCTCTCTCTTATCTGATTGTTTGCTGGATCTTTATGCAAAACTAAGATATTAAATTTTATATTTCTCTACCGCAACAAATATTCCCGGATGCAACAAGACTTAATTGATCTTAATTGAGTTTTTAAAGAGCTTTTTCATGAACTCTATATCTAATAATAATTAAGTTTTTAATGAGCTTTTTATCAAGCTTGTTACGGACTTAAAACGATATTATTAATGAATATAAATGGTTCCTAATTATTCAAATTTATTTCTTTAAGCATAAATAATTAAAAAAATATTCAAACTTCACAGATAAACTTTCATTAAGCCGAATCACTAATAACTTATTCAAAGCTGTTTCATTAGCAGCCTATCTCCACAATGGCAGTCCAATAAACCGACTGTGGCTTTATTTGATTTGAAGTTTTTTGTGGTTATTCCGTTTTAAAATGACAAATTTATTTATTCTTTACTGTTTGGTTTGCTAAATCACGTTCTCAATAACTCTTTTCTTTTTCTGTTATTTTGAGAAAACTTTTTATATATACTTCTTCGTTACAAAACTCCATTTTCTGAATCAATATTTTTTAAACTCTCTTTATAAAAGTAATAAAAAAACCAAACATGACAAACCCCGGTCGGGCTAATCGAAGCCCTATTGGCCAGTTCCAGTTCTCCCCATTGGAATAAATCAAACAAATAAGCACAGAGGCTTTCTTTTTGCTTGGAAATATAGGTTTCACCAGTCCATTTTTCGATTGATCGTGAGGGAGATGTACCTATGGCCATCCATCGCGTCTCTCCTTCTTCTCGTTTACTTGCCATTCGTTGCACTCGGCGATCAGCTCAGTCCAAAGGAGTGCGAGAATCTAGGGTTTACCCGCCGCGCCCTCTGCTCCGATTGCAATACTTTGGCAGAGTACGTCAAGGACGGAGGTTTGCTTTCTATCTATCATAATCTGTTCAAGGGTTTACAACATTGTGATTTCACTATGCTATTATGCTAATTTATATGGATTTATTTTAGCTTCTCTATGACCCAATTTTCGGTTCTTTTGGCTTGATTGTTTTATTCTCCGTCGCTAACTGTGCGAAAGTGAAGGAATGAAGTTCTAAGTCGGTAACTTATATCTTGCAAGTTTTTTGCTGCGGGTGCTGATTAAGTTAGGGGGTAAAGCTAATGGCGATTGTCAAATAATATAATTTTAAACCATGGGAACCTCTGCTATTTAGAGTATCCACGTGAGGATGCTGTATTTGTTGGTGAACTTTGGGGTTTTTTGGTTGGTTGTGATATTGGAAGTTGCTATTCTTGATCTCGACTAGTTAAAATGCATACGCAACAACTGCACATACCTTGTAAACATTCAGTTATGATAGCAATGGTTTCATCAACGTTACTAATCATTTTCTTGACTCCTTTTTTAATAAAATGCTAATTGGAAGAAAAATACGCTGTATTTCATTCGAAATCATACGTAGACTATTATTTATATAAAAAGTTCTATTATTATCCGGAAGAAATCACATAAAGGCTTAGAACTGATACTCCAATTAAACTCATAAGCAACGGCTATTCGAAAGCCCGAACTAATGCTAATTCTCTTGAATTATCTAATTATATTTTTTAAGAATAGTATAATTTAATCTTAAAATCTTGTTAATCAGAGTGCCAATGCAGCACATGTAATTAAATTCAAAAAGTTCCAATTGCAAATTAGGGTAGCTGGAAATAAATAAAAAAAAAAACAGGAAAAATTGGGAATCCTAACCATGCCTAAGAACCACAAACCCTGAACTGAAATAACCAGAAATGATTTTTGATGAAACAACAAATGACCATATTGAAAGAGAAGGAACAAGAAAAGAAGGAAAATCATCATCTCATTGTTACCAACCCAAAGAAGGTATCAAAGAGCTTTCAAAAGGCTTGCCCCATTGATGATCACCCCATTTTCCTTGCTTCCTCCAAAATCTACATTTCAAGGGCTTGAGATGATAGGGCTACATGGTTTTCTTGCTATAGATTAGTTGATGAAACTGTGCAATAAGAAGTAGAATCCATCAAGTAACATTGTAATCTCTCCAAGTTCATATAAAAATTATTACATTGCTGAAAGTCATCAACCTAACTTATAATTACCAAAGTTCATTAGCATCTTAATTAGGGTAATGCAAATCAAGTCCAGTGGCCTCACTATCAAAGGCCGAACCCACCCTTCCTTGACTCCACCCGAAGCAATTGATACAATTACCATGCCATGAGAATTACCCCAATAAACCATCTTTAATTGTAATTGCTCTGTAATTTTTGCTTTCTTTGCATCTATGGTCTACTCACCTTATTAGACCTCCAAATATCATTACAGAAAACAACAATCCCAAGATCACGTTGCTTGCCACCTTGCTAGTCTTTCTTTCATCATTCTTCCTGTCAATTTTTTTAGTCTTTTGGGTGTCTGTAGCTTGCTGGGATGTTAATTTGGCTATAGAAACTTAAAGTGTGAATGCAATTCTAATGGCCTCTTCAAGCGCTAGTAATAGAATTTCTTCCTAGCTATTTCATATATTAATTTTATTCCAGTCCTTTTCCATTGAGTAAGCTTCACTGACATCTGTCAAACTTAAGCTCGGGGCTTGAACTTGTTAAGCACCGTTTGTTTTATGGATTACAGATTTGCTTTAATGTATTAGGGCTTGAGGCACTATTATTATGGTTGATCCTGTTGGAACAGTTCTTTTGATTTTCGTTGTGGTTGATCTTAGTGATACCTATAAGAATTTTGTTGCACTGATCCTTACTTTAGTGCTGGTTGTGAACCCCTGCTCTATATGCTTTTATTGAAACTTTTGGCTAGATAGAAAACATGATATTGTTACTAAGGCAGTATGTGGGGGCGCCTTGCTTTTGTTGTTCTATTTTTGAACATTATTGTTTTTGTTGAATCCAAATTACCCATATTCTTTATTTTAGTTCTAGACTTACAATGGAAGAATTTCATCTGTCTCGAATAAAAAAAAAAGGTGGGATATTGGTTCATGCCATTTACCTTGGCTTGTCTTGATCATAATCTCTCAATTACATCTTGTGTACTTTATGAGCATATGCAGGATATTAGATTCATTTTATAAATGACAGTTTTTGTAGTGAGCCACATGAATATGATTAAGTTCACAATTGTCATTTACCATTGCAGAATTAGTAGCTGATTGCCGTAGGTGCTGCACAGATGATACTAATGATTCCTTGAGTAAGGTAAAAATCCTTTATATCTATCCATGAAGTTTTGGGAAGCTAGCCGTTTCCCACTTGTTTTGTTGGTCACCCAACATGATTGTTTAGTTTTCCATTGTATACATTAATGAAATTCGTTAAAGCTTATAGAATTTTTTTTCCTTTGAAATTTCATAATTTTAAGAAAATATAAATCATCTTTTTCTGAGTTATAATAATTTCAAGGCGTCTAAGTTATGCAAATAAACATTTCTTCCTACAAAGTTGGGTGACTTATGATGTTAGATGCAGGCAGTAATATAAATTTTTACCATTGAATACATTTTGTTTTGGAAACTCATATTATTCACGGTTAGAGATTTATGATTTGAACTCTTTCATATTTCAACAATAGCATATTGTTCTAGTGAGTTTAAACCAAAAGAATGAAGGGAGTAAGTATTTTCACAAATTTATTGTGAATATTTTTAAATTTTTGTTTTTTCCTCACTTTTACTTTTGAAACTAGCAATTGTCTTTCATACAAGTTAGTAATATTGATCCTACTCATAGTTGAGACAAATTGGGCCTGACGTTAGGTTGGCAACTGATAATATAATTTATGTTAATATTTATGAAATAAATTCAAATTTGATTTTTTTAGTGCCAGGATTTCCCATAAATGATGCTTTATGACTAAACTTGATTGTGAAAAGAACTTAGCAAATTTTTGCTAGAATTCGTGCATAAATAACATACTATTGAACTTGATTGTGGTGAAAATAGACAAAAGATTATTATGATGTAGTGAAAAGGGAACAAGGGTTTGGTAAGTGTAGAGCTAAGATTAGAAATGTTATGTGCAATTTGAGGTAAGTTACAGGTTAATATCGATCTTGTTGAAAATATTTACAATAAAATTTAGATTGATATGGTAATAGATAAAGAGCTAAAAGATAGCATTATGAGGTTTTAATAAATTTGGTGATATAATGATCGCTATTGAGTTAGTTATCATCATGACTTAAAATTATGCAATTAGAGGTATGTCTCAAGGGTCATTTTAACACAATTTAATAAAAAAGGCAATGAGACATATGCATCAAGTTTGCCATATGAGGCTTACGCCTTAGTGGAGGTGAGGCATGCCTAAAGGTATGCCTCAATGCAATTCTAATGTAATTTTAAAGTGGCATACGCCTAAAAAATTAGAGTTTAGATAATTTTAAAATATTTATTTGTAAAATTTATTTTTAAATTTAAAATCTTTTTATACCTAAATCAAATCAAATTTGAGAAGAATCACACAACCTCAAACTCGTAGCCACGAGTCCCTTATGTCCCGCACCTGATCCTAGTGCATTGTTGCACTGCGTCGTCGTCTTTGCTATTGCACTACTAACCCTCTTGTAATTCCTCTACTCATGATGTTGGAAACTCATTTTCTTATTTTTAGTATGAGGAAGGAGTTAATGCATCTAACTATAATTATGATTTTGATGGAGACTCTCAAAGTGAAGAGATTTGAGGTGGCTTTTGAATTCATAAATTATAACTTTTAATTACTTGTTTATGCTAAACTGGGAGTGAGAGAGATAATTTATTTAACCTTGAATTACTTTGAATGACATAATTTTGATTTTTATGACCTTATTTTAACATTTTACTTTATTGTTGGTTTGTTACTTATCATTTCATTTTTTTCATTAATTTAATGGTTTAATTATGAGGTTTACACATCAAAATATCTTGCACTCTCCTCATGAGAAAAGAAAAGCGTAAATATATGATTGCACAATTTCATACCTTAGTTAGAAGATAGTTAGAAAAATTGAGCTGACGAAGACATTCATGAACTATTGTAAGTTTATAACATATATAGGTAGAAGGAACGAAAATGATTTTGGGTGACTTTACACTAACATGTATGTTATAATAGTATGTGCTATGATAGAATTCATTCTATGTATGAAATAATCAATAGAAATGCAAATAGAAGTTATAATTAATTTCATAGTAGCTTTTATATATATATATATAGAGAGAGAGAGAGAGAGAGAGAGAGAGAGAGAGAGAGAGAGAATACGATTTTGATCCTTCTCTCTCTCTCTCTCTCTCTCTCTATATATATATATATATATATATATATTTGTGGAACTTTAAATTCTTTCTTCTGCAATATACAGAAACTTTTGGTTGAAGTAAATGATATTATATTATGTTTTGATAATTCTTCCAAATAAAAGCACCAAATTAAACCAAAGAGACCTATTTATATGGTTGCAACATGGCTATTAGATGAATGGTCTTAGATACTATATTGCTCTGCACTCTACATTCTAAAGATTACAGTAGCATTCGTAGCTGTGTTGAATCTAAACCTTTTTATCGATTTATCTTTAGTTTGTGGAGGTGCCCCATCTCAAGTACCATATTTAAAGTGACAAGGCACATATTTCTAAGATTATTAGTTCTATTTTTTTGGGAGACGAATTGCTTAAACATCCCTTCTTGACAAAGTTGAGGTGGCTTTGCTTTTATTTCAGGTTTCATTTTCTGGTGCTATATTGGAGGTTTGCATGAGAAAGCTGGTTTTCTACCCCGAAGTTGTTGCATTCATTGAGGAAGAGAAAGATCAATTCTCTTCTGTCAAGGTTCAGTATGTGTATGCTTCACCTCCAAAACTCGTAATGCTTGATGAAGATGGAAATCAGGTGGAAACAATAAGGTATGTTTGGTTATGCCGTTCCTTGTGTTATATGCATCATCTTAAGTTTTATTTCTAAGTGCATTCCATTGTTTCCGTTAAATTCTCCCTCCAATGTGAAAGTGAATGATTACGAGAATGAATGAATATTGTTTGATTAGCTTAATTTCGTCCCTCATCAATTTGTTTAGTCTTTATAAATTTGCCATGCAATTTATTGACGGGAAAGTTCCTTCCTAGGTGGCGACTTGGTAGGTGTCTCAATACATTTTCAATTGAGCTATCACAAAATTGTGTCTCACACATAAATTTGATACATCCATCTTTTGATACAAACTTGTTAGTAGATAATAGCGCACCATGGTTCAAAGTTTCCCTTGGATTCATAGCACGTAGCACACGGTTCGACACCCACTATTTTAAACATAAGACACAATATTAAACAATTATAGATAAAAATATGTATTAGCATGAAATGCTATTAAATTGAAAGATAAACCATCATGATAATGAAAACAATTAAAGTAATGCTTAAATTTGAGAAATTGATAGCTCAATCACTCAAAATAATAGCAATTTTAAATAACCAAAATAACAATTGTCAATTTAGTTGATGAATTGCGGGTAGAAGAATCTGTTGTAGATGTTGAGGATTCCCTTCAATGCTGTTGAGGGACTTATGTTCATAACCAAGTATGGACTCTCTTACGGATACCTCCATAGTCAGAAATTTTTGTTGGAATCGCAAGGGAATGCTTTCTTTGGGAATGTTGACATTGATTCTTCATGCATTAGTGTAGGGGAGATCGCAGCTTAGGAGCCACTAGAGGCTTGAATCTACCTAATAGCCTAGCTGAATTGTGTTCTCAAGATTGTTGAAGCCCCCTAGATCACCATGCCTGGATTGCCTTACCGAAATCATCGAAGCGGAGCTTAGATCATGTTCTTGATATCGTTGAAGCCTCACTTGGATTGCCTTCTCGAGCTTGGATCCCATGCTGGTGTGCCGATGTAGTATTTAAAGCATTGTTAGGTAGGGCACCATTAATCAATAAAATATATGATAAATTAATAAAAATAAAAATAAATATTTATTTTAAAATTTGAACCATAACAAGCATGTGCTTCATGGTTTTATCGTTATGCGCTATTGCTTATATATTGTACAAATAGCACATGCCACTTTGAAAATATGTGCCAAGCTATACAAATGCTCGATTCATTTCGGAGAATGACACACTTTATAAGGGTTTACAAATGACTTAATTCAAATTCAAAGGGAGAGAAGAGTTATAGTGGCCATCTCTACATGTGATTACATGTGACTACCTTTCTATAGAATAATGTTAGATCATATCCCTTTTGGACCGGTCCCATTGGTCCTTTCCTGTACCGGCTCTTGGGGGTTGATTTGGAGGGGATTAATTAAGAGATATTTTCTAATTGAATAGGGCAGATTTTGGGGCTGATTTGGAGGGGATTAATTAGGAAATGTTTCCTAATTGAATAGGGCAGATTTTGGGGTTGATTTGGAGGGAATTAATTAGGAAATGTTTCCTAATTGAAGTGGGCAAATTTGGGGGCTGATTTGAGAGGAAAATAATTAAGGAAATAGGGCATATTTGGGAGGAAATTAGGGGAGGGTTGTTTGAGTATTTGCCATTTATTGTATGCTTTAAGTAGGGGGTTTTTCATAGGGTTAGGGGTACATGTTGTTTGTTGAAATTAGATTGTTCTTAGGGTGTTTGAGCTCTAGCCGACGACTAGAGATTTGAGAGAGCCAGATTTTCCTCTCCAATTGAAGATCTACCTGAATCTTGTCTTTTCTTTCATAAAACTTTCAATAAAAAATGTTATTGTGTGTTTTATTCTTGGTTTTCTTTTCATTGGTTTTCTGAAATTGCTAAAATTAGATTTCAGCTAAGGTTTTTCCTAAATTTCTGCAAGCACTTCTTATCAAATTGGTATCAGAGCGGTTTCCGGACTATTTTTGGTCTGTTTTTGGAGAATTCCTGCAGAAGTTTTTTCTATTTCAGGCTGTGATTTTTTATGTTTTTGTGGTGGAAATTCGGATTTTTGAGCTTTACAAAGATCCAGGGACTTATGCGGGAAAAAGGTAAAAGTATTAGAAGTGGAGATCGGGTAATTGAAATCTTAAATTTCAGATATCCAAACTCAAGTTTTATATTAAAAAAATGATATTTCAGTCATCCATGATACGATCGATTTAAAAATTTCCATCCTAGAGGAGATGTTGAAGAAAGTGTTTGAGGGCCCTACCAAAATATTGCCGTCGGAGGTAAGGAAAGGCGTTTGCAGCTAGGGAAGTGGAGAAAGCCCTAAGGTGGAGATTTTGGAGAGAACATAAAAAATGCCTTCCCTACTTGGTGATTTTTCTTTCACAGATTCACTATTTGGGGAGTGTTCTTTCACATATTCAAATGGCTGAGCATACTTTGATTCAATGTTGGACTTTTCTTTCTTCTTGAAAGTACTTATAGTAATGTTTAGTTTTATTTGATAGGATATTGTTGGATTTATTGTTTAAGGATTTTACTTTATATGTTGAGAATTCTCGGGTTACTTGAAATTTTTGGATTGGTTGTTAGATTATGTTTAAGAAAATCAGAGTTGTTAAGATAACATCCTAGGAGATGAATATGTTTCTTTTTTTTGGGAATTAGTTTGATTACACTTACACTCTTTTTGAGTCGAAGAATATCATAGGAGGATGCATCTTATAGCTTTTGGATTGAGTTTAGTTTTTTTTATTGTGTTGATGGACATAAACAAATGCCCTCAAAGGTTTTTAGTAGAAGTAATAAGTTTTGTATGCTTGGGAAAATTTAGTTGAGGTTTTTAAGAAGTGTTTCGTTTTATAAAATTCCAGTAGGGAGGCAATTTATTAGAAATGTAACAGTTAAAGTTGCTTCCCTCCGATAAAAAAATTTAGAACGTTGTTTTCGAAGTGTAGGGATCTAGTGGTTTCAAAGAGATGAGTGTTTTCCTTTCTTTCTCAATTAATAGAGTTCATCTCGTTCCGTAGCTCAATCGTCTTCCTTATGATTTGATCATGAAATATACAATGAGCACGATTAAATGTTGCAATGCAATTAAGGTTTGATGCTAGTTCTTGAATAGATTATAGGTTCATGAATAATTTGGATATGTTGACAACAGATGATAATTGAAGGGAAGGTGCATGTTTTATGGACCCCTTTATCGCAATAATGATAAAGCTTCCATTGGCCACTATTATTTTATGGTTTGTTTGGCTGGTATATGTGATCAGGTGCTCCTTATTTATCTAAATTTTATTTGAACTAATACTGGATGCACAACCAAGGTATGCAGTGAAAAGCTTACCTAATTGAGCCATGGAGCACGTATCTAGTAGTTTATCAAATGTTTGTCAAATAGGTTCAGAGTTTCTTTTTTTCGTGCTTTATTCTTTTTATATTTGTAGCAATTTTTTTTCCTCAGGGATGCAGAGTTTGTGGGATGATGTTTGGGTTGGTTTTGACATGGATATTTTTTGTTGTTGTATGGAGGGTTCTTTTGGGATTTCCAGTAGATATCTCTTTGTATATCCCGCCTTCTTACAGTATATGCAAAATGCACATTCTTGATTATCGAAACTTAGTGGCCTAGTTTAGGTTTATATGGCTCAATTCTGCTTGAATTTGGTGTAGGAACAAGTAGAGCAACATCTTCACTAATGGTATCCTTTCTTCACATCTAATGATAGGAAAGACTTCATTTAGGTTAGAAAGGGACTCTTTTCCAAGTATTTAAATGAATATTTGGTTATATTCAATATTCAATTCAGCTAAGGATTCATAAATTCCCTACTACTATAAAAGTTTGTAGCATCTTATTTTGATACAGTAATAATAATCAAACTCAGGCTACAAAATTTTCATTTATAATATTTGGTAATCGAATCTGTACCTTGCTGGTGCGAATTTTAGTTTTCTCATAAACTAAGGCAGCATCAAGCACTTTGGAATATGTTTGCTTCACTGCGTCCCAAGATATCTATGGCTATGATTAGGAAAATGGATGTTACACTGACTTTGGTTATCATTGAATTTTATAGTGAGAACATAACTGAGAAGTCTTCTACATCCCATATGACAAAATTGAGATTATCTTCGCTTTGGTATGGGGCCAATACTACGGCCCAACTTTCTTTCTTTTGAGAAAGATTTTCATAATTTGGGACCAAATGATGTAATTTCTATTATTTAATTTGAATGAAGATTAAAGGTTTTGCTACTCACTATGTTTTAATTAGTTTGAGTTGTCAATACTTCTCATACAACAACAACAACAACAACATCAAACCTTTATCCCACTACGTGGGGTCGGCTACATTATTCCTTTTTCTCCATTGTGTTCTATTAAAAGCCAAATTCTCGTTTAAATCTAATAAAGAAAGATCATTTCTAATATTTTCTATCCAATTCTTTTTAGGTCTGCCTCTATCTTTCTTAATATAAATCAAATTTAATACCTCTACTTTCCTAACCGGGTCATTGAAAGGCCGCCGTTTTATGTGACCAAACCATTTAAGGCAACTCACTCTAATCTTATCTTCTACTAGAGCTACTCCAACCTTTTCACGTATATGCTCATTTCGTATCCTATCTCTAAGGGTAAAGCCACTCATCCACCTGAGCATCCTCATCTCTACCACACTTAACTTAGTAATTATGCTTCTCTTTTAATGGTCAACATTCGACACCATAAAACATTGCAGGCCTCACCACCATCTTATAGAATTTTCCCTCAAGTTTGAGGGGTACTTTTCTAAGGAAAACCCACATAAGAAAAAAAGCTTAGGATTCCTTTGTTTTTTGAGCTCCGATACCATTGAGAGAGGGAAAAAATTATTTTTTGTGAAATTTCTGCCATCCACAACAATTGATAAAATCAATTCTACCTTCCTAATGTAAAAAAAGGCTTGTATCCAGTATTCATGCTTGTGTGTTTGATTGCAAGTTGTTAAACGTTCCTTTGGAGTTTAACGAACTCAATAAAGCTGAAAGTTTTGAATCTGCATTTTCTTTGATTGGTTCTCTGTCCTCTTAGAAAGAGTCTTTGGAACATACTGACAACAAAAATGTTTTCTGTTATGTTCACCAGAATTGATAATTGGAAGCGTGAGCACATACGACAATTCCTGAAAGAGAAGGTGAAAGCTACTTCGAAGGAAATCTAAAATTTCTTCGTTGACTTCAATTTTTATTTTTGCAAAACACGAGGTATGGAAAGACTTTGGCTTTGTTTGGGACGACTTTTTTATTGCTTCTTGAAGCAGCTTTTTAGTACAAAAAAATTTAATTTTTATACTAAAAGGCTGCTTCAAGAAGCAGGAAAAAAACTGTCCCAAATGAAGCCTTTGTATTGAACCTGAAATAAGATGAATCCACGTGTGAATGGGGCTAAAAACTTTGTCCTGGTTGACATGTAAACAGAATGTTTTGTAGGGCTTTCAAAATTGATCAAATACATTTATTATGTGCAATATTTTCTATTGAAAGGTTGGATGTGTGAAATTTTTAGGCATCACTTCCTCAACAAAATTGCTCTCATTTGGGTACCAACTTATTTCCTTTATTTTAAGAGGCTCACTTCATGCTGAATATGCCTCATGCTTTGATACAACTTTAGATCACTATTTTTTTTTTCTATTTTAAAGAAATTTCTATACTAAATACAGCTTTACACTGCAGGAAGAAAGCTGTTCCAAATGAAATCTTATTTTGACTGAAATGTTACTCCTAAGCTTACATGATTGAGGCTTCGTTTGGTTCTTCCTCTCTGGTAAAAGAGAGTTTTAGAAATATTGGTTAAGATAATGGAGTTTTTTTAACGGAGAAGAAAAAAGCTTCTCAAAATAGTAGAAAAATGAAGTTCCCTAAAAAGTATTTCTATAAAATCATTCGATCCAAATGACCAAAAAAATGCTGAAACAAACGAGGCCTGAATGGTAGTGCAAAACCTCGTTGTCTTAAGGAAATAACAACTTTGTTTTGCCGTAATCAACATGTCCTCTTAGGCCTCATTTTGTTACTTTTAAAATCAGAATATAAGAAATGATAGTTTTATTATTTATTTATTGATTTTGTTACTGAAAATGAGATCATTGTGATTGGAATTTTGAGAAAGATTATGGTGCTTAAAAGCAATGTCAGCATTTAAATACTTTCATTTAGATGATGATTTTAATGAAATTTATCATTATGTGATGAATTTAATAAAACTTCTGATTTGTAGTTCTAAGTAATGAAAGGAGATCTTACACTCGAAATTAAATTACTTGCGTGAATGTCTATTTGATCAAATAGCATTTAAAATTATAGTTTTTTGTCCCTGATGAGAGAGAGATAAAATTTACAATTTTTATTTTTCTAATAAAAGTGCGTGTATCATTATTTACGGTATCTGCTTTTAGCGTGGATCGATTGAAATTACGTCAATTTTTATTTTGACAATAAATCAATTATATGTCGATTGTGATCTAAACATAATAACATTTTATTTAATTACTCATTTCCTATATTTATTTTTAACTAATATTATGCATGGATGTTATATTTAAGATTATAATATGTCGATTGTGATCTAAACATAGTAATTATTTATTGATTGAGGCTTAACAAAATTTTAAGATGATTAAACCATTAATGAGGCACATGAAAATGTAAAAATGATTGGATAATATGTAGAAACCCTAAACACATGACTAATGAAGGGGGTTGGGGGGATTGGGCCCTTCTAAACTCTAAGACTTCACTTATATGATGTATGCAATGTATTCAATCTTAAATCAAGAATGAAATAAAATTAAAGGTAGGAATAACAAAATAAAATGCAAGATAAAAGTAGACAAAGAGACAAATGTTTTTCCTACTGCAACATATTATTATTTAATATGCAAATCTAAGAACCTTAAATATTTATGATTCTACTACCTATAATTATCACTCCTTTAATCAGAGCTAGTTGAGATATATAAAGGGTAAGATGACTTGATAGTAGTGGTAGGCTTTATGATTTGATTGATGATTGAAAATGATCATGAATGTTTAATGATATGGAGGTGTGATCTAGAGTTTATGGTGAAAATATATGGTCTTTAGAGGGGTTTGGTGACGCGAGAAACAAGATTAGATTAATTTGAGCTAGTTTGACCTAATTTGTTTTAGTTCTTTTACGAATGGGTTTAATGAGGTTTAAATGGTGAAAATGATGAAAAGACGTTAGTTGAGGATGGGAAAAAGTAAGGGAAATGGGGCTATATAAATTCATGCTTGGAAGCTTTTTCCAAAGCTTGTAACTCTTTGAAATCCAGTCATATCTTGGTTTAGTGAACGAAGCTCCATTGTAAAATAAATTATCACATTTATTATACATAAATAACTTGAAGGGCTCTCACAAAAAAAAAAGTTTTAGTTGTCTTCCTGATGATGAGACAAGGTGAGATAGCAATGTTTTGATTTTGACTAAAATTTTTCGCACATAACCATTGATATTTTACATTCCTTCATTATATTAAAAAATATATTTACACTAATAATTCTTCTTTGTAACATATTAGAACATTACACAACAATAAAATCATACTTAATAAAATATAAGATATTGAAGCTTTATTCTGCATCAACCTTCTTTCACTTCAAGAATTCTACCTTGTATAATTATATTAATATGACAAGACAAATTTGAAAATGCAAAGTAAAATGCACTGATTAATATAGAACGGGAACATACAAATAATAATATGAAAATGAAATGAAATCACTTAAGCTAAAATAACCATTATCTCTTTATCAATTAAAAAAATTATAATCTTATTGCCAATCCAAAAAGGGTTAAGTGAAGTAACCAAATCAATAATCAATTCAGGTGGCCACCAATTTAATGTTTTTAGGGGTGATTGGAAAATAGAATTTTAACATTTTATTGAAGGAGTCAAGATATGAATTTTTTAGGAAAATGAAAACTACATAGAATGTAAGTTTAAAAAACTCACCAAAGTCCCCCATCAAGAAAATAATCATCAAACTCCTCTTCATATATGTGCAAATAAATCCTCTTTAATATCAAATACTAAAATGATGGAGGATGGTGAAATGTATTTTAATCATGATTTTAATGGATGGAATGTTTGGCTCACTTTAGGAAGAAGACAGTACCCCACAAATAAAATACATGCAACTAATTTGCTACTAAAATCCTGGTTTTGCTTCTATAAAATGTTGATGGTGGTGGGAGGTTTTATGATTGATTTTGTGGTTGAAAATGGCTATATACATTTATTTTAGGATGCGTAGACATGATTTAGAGTTTATGGTGAAAAGGTAAGGTCTTTGAAGGGTTGTGGTGTTACAAGAGCCAATATGAGATCAATTTGAGCTAATTTGATTTCTCTTTTGTGAATGGATTTAATAACATTAAATGGTTATAAATGATTATGAGGATTATGTTAGGATATGTTGATTCGTTATGTAGTTTTAGAATGTTTAAAGGCTTGTGGGATGGTGGAGAACATGACTAAGTGAAAGGGAGCCTTGTCTTGATTGAGAGCTTCTAAATTGGTTTGGGGTAGGTTTTGATGGCATGGGTTGTAGGTGGCTAGTATTATGAGATGGATATGATGTAAGGGAATATGATAGAGATATTTTAAAGAGAGGTTATGTTGAGAATAATTAAGAAAGCACTTGATAACTAACTTTTCCAACCAAGAAAATAGCAAGATCAACCACCAAGCTCCAACCATAAGATGTAATTTATCCAATTTTTTTATTCTAAAAGTTTAAGTCTTTTTTAATTGATATGATGGAGTTTCTACAACAATAACACCACTTTAAAATATTCACACAAAAGGTCACAAGATGATTCAAACTAGATTTAAATTTAGCACAAGGAAAGATTACTAGTTTGCACCAAGAATCACAATCATGCTATATCTCTTTAGATTTATAAATAAGATGTAACGATAAGATTATCAATCACATAATCACAAGTATAAATAAAGAATTAGAAAGTTCATTCAGCAGCTTTGGATTAGATAAAGACAATTTAAGTAAGAAGTTACCAAATCTTGATCCAAGCTAAAGCCTTCACCCCACTAGCTTTCCTCCAAGAAAAAATGAAAGATCCTCCAAGAAAATTGAAAGAATTGCTGGAGGATGCCTTTCAGTTGTTGGAGATTCAAGTGAAGGAGTTGAGGTGGGGATCTTTAAGATTTCTCACACAAAAAGATTGCAAAATTTGGCAAGGGAGTATGGAGCAAAATTTTAGCCAGCACAAGAAGAGCTTAGGGTTGAATTGAATTATTTTTAGCCCTAAGTAATCCAAGGGATTAGGAGGGAAGATTGTAAGAAAGCAATTTGAACCAAGGGAAATTATTAAAATGAAATTTGATTAGATTTAATCAAGCCTTAAAATAAAATAGGAAGGAATTAATGAGGGCTAGATGAAAATTTGTTAAGAAGACACTACAGGAAAAACATCTTTTTCCGGCAGACATTTTCGCCGGAAAATTGACCAAAATCCGTCGGAAATTAACATTTTCGGCGGATTTCCGGCGGAAATATTTCCGCCGGTTTGACGCGCGTCGTAAAAGGCCTTCCGGCGCAAAAAAATACGTTGGAAATATTTCCGGCGTATTTCCGAAGGAAAAATATTTCTGGCGTAATTTTTTTTCACCGGAATGTCAAGAAAAATTTGAAAAAAAATTAATAAAAAATAATTAAAGGAATTTAATAGAGTGGGCTGACCAAGGGAGGAGGGATTTCCTAAAATAAAATCCCTAAGGAGGGATTTCGGCCAAGGAGATGGAGAAGGGGTAGGAAATGAATTTTGGAATGTGAGTTCATTAATTAATTATTTAATAAACTTAATTAAACTCCAAAAATTTTAATTAACATAATTAATAACTAATTAACACACACAAACCCAACCATGTATTAATCCAAATGAAGAGAACGAATGAGGGACAAAATATAAAATTTGTATGTGAGTTATTTTAGGAAAGTTTTTGGAATTTTAAAAATCATAAATATTAAAGGGTAAATTCCAAAATTAAATAATATGAAATGATAAAGTATGAAAATTTAAATCACATGAAGTCATGAGACATTCAAAAAAAAAAAAAAATGGTAAGCACAATTTGAACTAGTTAGGAAACATACCATAAATAAACCTAATTTTATATCAAAATAAAAAAGAGTTATCTAATGCTTGATGATATGATATAAAATATGTATGAAATCTTTTAGTTAGTGAGCACATTCATTTTGATTAATTCATTATTAAGTGTTTATAAGAAAAAGTACCCCAAATCTATTATCCCCCCATGCTTTAAACAACTTCTTCTATGATTTGGCTTGATCATCTATGAAGACCTAAAACACTAATTTGAAACATTAGTCACACCTAGCATATGTTTATTATTATCAAAATCAAAGTGGCCTACACCAAGGCTTATGGTGCTAACAATCTTCCATTTTTTTAATGATGACAAACAATTATTTATTTTTGTTATAGAGTGAAGGTGC